TCGCCCCACCTCACAGCCTTCAACAGCACGTACTCTGGCCTTGTCTCAGGCTCTTAGGTCTAACCCTAACCCTTTGGTGGTCAGGTACCTTTAGGACTGTTTAGGGTGATGGTTGTTGTCTAGCAACATCCTGTTTCTTGTCTGGGAATCCCTAAGGATACAGGGATGCCCTCACCTGTGACACCTCCATCTCCTTCTGCCTCCCTGTTTCCTTAGCGAGGAGCCTTTCTTCTTTTTATCCATTCATTGCTGTTTTAAAATATTTAAGGAAAAGGAGAAAATAAAAACAGGTGACCAGTAAGTTATATTTGGGGGGAAGACCACAATAATTGAAGAGAATACACGTTGGAAATATATTCTAGAATACAAAACTGCACAGATATGTCAGATACCGTAGATGGGTTCCCTGCTTTTCTCTGAATGTATTGGATTTATTGCTTACATACATGGTGTTCCTGGGCTAACATCCAAAGCTGTTTTGTGGTGGTTCCAAAGAACAGGCCTCTCTTCCAGAGCCTCTGTCCATACTTGGTTTATTCCTCTAAATTACAGACCTTCTTCTAAATGACCCTCCCTTATCTTGCCTTCCAGTTTCTCTGTAAAGTTGCCATGAGGCCAGTTTGCTGGCTTAAGTCTTATGAAAATTATTCAAAAATTGCTATGCCGGCCCAGCCTTGAGTCAGAAAGGAGAGCCTGGCTCAAGTGTACCCTCAGGAGGGTGCTGTCCATTCAGGCACAGCATCCGCAGAGAGCATTGTATCAGCTTGTGATTGCTTCCTAGTAAATCACCAAAAGTGTAACAGTGTGACAGTGAATGGATTGTGTCATTATTGGTCAGAAACATCCAGCTAAATTGGACACAGTTCTGAGTGTGGCTGAGGGGATTTATGGAAGACAGAAGACCCGCCCAGGGTGGCTTGTTGCCTCAGTGTTGTAAGAGACAATAAGGAAGGCGGATTTCTGTTTCTTCAGAGGAGCTCCAGTCTTGCCTTCATCTTGGATAGCTTGCACCTCAGATGTCTCCTGACTTCTGGCACTGACCCTTCGGCCTCCTGAGACGGATTTGCATGGGGTACTACACTGCATCATCCTTCAGCTCTCCAATGCACTCTTCCACACCGGACTCTGCAGGCGGCCACTGTAAGCCGATCTCATAAGTTCTTATCTATTTGTACATCTTATATTAATTGTTTCTCTAGTAAGCATTGACTGACACAGACAGCATAGGGTAGTATTTATCATTACTCCATTTCTGCAACCAGAAGTCTGGGAGTGGGTTGGCTGGGTTGTTCTGAGTCAGAGTCTCTGAAGAGATGAATGGAGCTGTCCATACACATAGGGTGACCTCAGAGCTGTCCACTATGCCCAACATGACTTCAGGGACCCTCGGGGTTGGGACACCCACTCCTACACTCATTCCCATGTCTGACACAGGCCTTTGTCCATGCTGGCTGCCAGTCAGGGGGTTCAGCAAGGTCTCCCCATGGGGCTCTCTCAGAATACAGGGGAGAGGGATTCTATCCTTTATAACCTCATTTGTCTCAGTGATGACAGATCACTGCTGCCCTATGCATTAGTCATACACACCAGCCTGGGCCAAGCAGGAAGGGTGTGGATTCTGAGAAGAAGGGTAGCTGGGACCATCCCAAGCTGAGACCACAAGCCAGCATGCAAGGACTGAGCTGCACAGGACAGGAAGGTCAACTCCAAAATTGTGCACTCCTTGAGGAAGAGCTCCTGCTTTCTGCCCCTCTAAATCCTCAGCACTTTCCAATATTCTTACACCTTTCCAGCAGCTGAACAAATGTGAGGCAAAGATTTATCTGTGATCTCCCTCTGCATTTTACTGAGAAAGAAATGCAGACAGTTCATTGCTAAGTGGTTCATTCATCTAAGTCACATGGGAAAAAAGGACGATGTTGGGTTCTAATAGCCCGTCATGTCCCCCTGATCTTCCAATGAGACGGTGTCATTCCATAATGTCTTCACACCAGTGGCGTAATTATTTCCATATGGCTCAGAGAATCCAGAGCACAGGCAAAGACCTTGGGCTGAGTCACCTGTGTGACCAGCCAGCCCTGGAGTCTCTTACCTGTCAGTCGTACTGGCTGAGACCCCGGGCAGCAGGCACCAGTTACAATGAAGTAAGAGCAATGTAAACTTGGAACATGCTGGCTTTTGTTAGCCATGGGAGGACACCTCTCCAGAGAAACTAATAGAAACATTTGCTTTGTTATAGACAAGTTCAGGAAGCTTCGAATGCTTTTGGTTTATAAGTTACAAATGCATGTGTCTATCATTTTATAAGACTCGTCTTCTTCACAGTAATGATTTCCTTACTGTTGGGAAAAAGAGCACTACATGCTTTATGTAAATAAAGATTAGAAATGTCTAGAGATGTAGTTATTGGACCATTTTTCCTCAGATGCAACAATATGCTGTTAATCAAAAGATAATTATACTGCCTGACAAATTACTTTTATTATTAGTGCCCTGATTTAAAAAGAAAAAGAAGACTTTTGGTACAGTACTGCCTAATTAAAACAATGCACATAATCTTGTTAGACATTTCACTAGGGCTGTTTCTCCAAAGTGGTGACATTTTTGTGCAGTTACCCTGAATGGAGGTGAGGGCCATCTAGGGTCACTTTGCCTTTCTGATTCTAATATAGCCTGAAGTTAATTTGGAGCTTAAAAAAGAACAACTCCAAGGAAGGCCAAGGCAACTGTAGGCAGCTCTAGTCCACTGGAGCCAGCCTAGAAGGAGCCCTAATTTCAGAACAACCGTCAGGCTCAACCATGTTCTTGCACTGGTTGGGAGAAGCCAAGGTTCTTTTGCAGAGAAATTTCTCCGATTCAGAGAAAATCTAGAGCCATCTGGAAACAGCATATGCACAGACAAGCTTTTCTATGAAAATGAGAACTCCTGCCCTGTCACAGCCCCTGCTCACACTGTACCATATGCCTGAGGGGGCCTGCAGTGGCCTTAGTGTCGGGTTCTGGCTGTCCAGCTCTGTGGGTGACATCTGCAGCCAGGGTTACTGATTCGCTTCTCACCCTGCTGGAAGGAAAATCATTGCCAGCCTGTTTTCTTAAAAACAGCCCCCAAACAACTAGGACTATAACACGGTTGAACACATGGCGTGCCCCTTTTGGTGACTGTTTAGAGTTTTATTTGACCAGGGGGCTTGGGCTTGCTCAAGAGGTTTTTGGAAAATAGGATGGTGGGTTTGTAGGGAAAGTGATTTCCTCCCTCATTCTCCCTCCACCCTGCTTCTTCCCCCGACCCCGCTCTCCCTCGCTCCCTCTAGTGATTAAACCCCAGGCCTCATGCATGCTAGGCAAGTGCTTTACCACTGACCTACACTACCAGCCCATGGCTTCTTAATTTTGTCTACTGTGTGTCATCTCCATATATTTATGGTGTTGAAATCAGAGTGATAAGTGCCAAATTATTATGTAAATATTTAAACCCCATGATGTGTGACCTGGCAAGTCTTTCAAGACTTCTATTTAATGCAGTTTATTCTCATGTAAACGTCAGTTTAAACTTCTGGTGTGCGCTCATTAATCTTACTTAGTAAGGTATTACATGAGGATAAGTCTTAATGCTTTCCTGTGCAAGAAATAGTAGCAAGCTATAGACTGTAGCTCTAACTTCAGCCAATTTGGCAAAAGCATTGTTGTGCAAATGAACTTTGAAGCTTAGTAGATAAATTGGAATGTGTGTGTGTGTGTGTGTGTGTGTGTGTGTGTGTGTGTGTGTGTTTGGTTTCCTTCAAAATAGCACAAAGGTTTATACATATGTTGGTAAGAATCACTCAGAGAACCAAACATAAAAGCCTCCATACAAGGGAGCATGGTTATGCTATAAATAGTTTAAGATGAGCTTCCCTTTGAGTAGTTCTGTTTTGTTATCTGGCATTAACTAGATTTTATTCAGTAACTTCGGTTCTGTTCTCTATTACTGAAGATTTATTGTGTTTTCCCTAAAAATAAACTTGACTTTAAAAAGAAATATGAAGAATGAAGTTTTGTTGCTGTTGGTTTCCTTTTGTAAATAAATATTTACTCAAAGCATGAAATTTCTCTTTGAACAATTGAGGCCTTGAATGGGAGAAAACCTCTAAGTCACAGCATATTCTTGTGGTACAGATTACGACCCCCTGAAATGTCATTACGAAACATGTGCATTGTAATATTCATTTATGAATACATAAGTAAGTAAAGTAACGAATGTAAATGTGTACACATTAACACATGTATACATATCTTGTCTAAATGTGTGAGATGTCTCCTTTAAGATATTTAAAATTCACTAAGGTTGTCTACATTAATAGCAACTAATAATGCAGGCCTTTTCTGAGATGTACCTTGATGTCTAACATTCTTAAATTTTTCTGTGATGAAATAAGCTTGGTAATTTTTGTGAGAAATCTAAAACAACAGAATACTACACACAAGGCACTATAATTAGAGCACTATTATTCAAATGTTTATTGAGCTTATTAAACTAAAATAATTGCTAGTTTCTGTGATATAGTCCATGTTAAACATTTGTAGTTCTTTCAACGTGACAAGTAAATTTTGAAAAATTATACCATGAATGTTTGCAAAGCTTTCATGGTAACACTGTTTATCTGAACCCTGATTATAGAAGCAAAAATTAGAAACATGAATATCTAAAAATGGAGGATTAGTTAGGTATTACGATGCAAAACTAACACTTATTATGCCATAGTAAACAAAAATAGATCACACACATCTTCTTTTTCCAGTCTGATTTTTATTTACAGTTCTTAGACTTGATACATTCAGTGTCCATCTAGTTCTTAAATGTAAAGAATTATTCATGTTTGGTCCACACATGTACACATACACACACACGCATGCACACATGCACACACGAATGAAACTATGTGTATGTGTAGTAAGTATATATAATGCAGATATGTTTTATGCATTTATTTTAAAGTGATATAAAACTTAATATTGCAAATATTGCTCAATAAAAAAATCCAAATATTGGTGACAGCGTGAAATTTCATGAGTATTTCTAGGAGCACAAATTGGAACACAGAGAGAAACGAGAAAGTAGATGGCTGTCCCCACCCAGAAATGGTGTTGTGTTATCTAGGAACGTTGGCTTTGTGTTTTCTGAGAGAACATCAGCTGGCTTCCCTGCCTCCTCACTGCGGACCCGAGGCTCCCCCGAAGCACCCATGTTTGGGAGCAGGAATGGAGCAGCGCAGAGCAGCTTTTCTTGGGGCCTGACCTGACTTGGTCTCCAGGTGGACGCATAGGGACCTGTTGTGACCCAGGCGCACACCGTTTTCCGATTTCTGCTTTGTCTGGGCCACTGGGGCCTTTAAAGTAAGGTCTGTGACAGACATCCCCTTGCCTGGTTGAAGAGTGCTGCCATTGATGTGTGACATTTCATCTCATTAGCCGTGTGGAGACACTTTGTTTTGATATCTTTTCCCATATATTTTTATAAAATTTTCCACCCATTTATCTTAAATTTATCTTTATCGTGAATCTGAACTGTGCCTCTTGTAGACAGCACCTGGGCAGATCCTATTCTCCTCTTGTGCAATATTGTGCAAGTTTTCACTGCATTTTGTAACCCATTCACCTTTGATGGCATCACTGGTCCATCTGGATTTATACTTGTCATTAGTTTTTACTGGGCATCTCCTGTGTCACATTGCTCCTCTAGTCCACCCTTGCTGCATTCTTTGGCATGAAGTTGGTGTTTTCAAGGCAGCATTTTCATTTTTCTGGTGGGTTTTTCATAATAGCTGTCCCTCGGTGTCTTCAGGTTCTGCATCCAAAGATTCAACCAATGATGAGCCAAGAATACTAAAAAGTGACTAAAGAAAAAATAATACTACATGTTTAGAAAAACAATACAGCACAACAGCTATCTTGTATTTATATTATATTAGGCATTATTGCACCTAATTGTAAAAAGGAATTGTGACTCTCTAGAGAAAATTTGAAGTGAATATATGGAGAATGTGGGCAGGTTATTATATGTGAATCCTACACCTTTTAACATAAGGGACCTGTGCATCATTGGGGTTTGGTATCTGCAGGGGTCCTGGAACCAATCTCTCAAGTTACGGGGACTGCACTGAGTGTTTCTCTTGCTGGTTTTATGGACTTCTTCTTGTCTTTGACTTTTGGCATTTAACTATGATGTATGAGATGTGATTAAAAAAAATACTACAGTGTGTATTTAAATAAAAGATTATTATAATAAAAGACACATTACCACGAACCCTTCCCCCTCAGAATATTCCCTCTTGCTTTGAACACACTTATCCCACTGTTCTCACAATATTCTGAAGCAGTTCTGGAAGTGCTTTTTCCTGAGTGTCCTTAGTGGCACTGTCTTGGTTGCTTCAATGTTCTGAATATTTTCTACTCCCTTCTCTCCCACGTGAACATATGCTGGTGCTCTTGACATGGTCTCACATGCATTTTAGGTTCTCTTTATTTTTCTTCATTCTTTCTTATCTAAGCTCTTTGGCTGTTAGCATCTATTGTGGAGGGCATTATGCTGAAGTGCTCTAGGGGTCACCTCTGTTGGTTGGATCTATTGCCTCATGAGCCAGAGGCAAGATGACTGAGGCCAATATCATGTTCACATGATAATGCATCTCAGTTTCTCCTTTGTATAGTGCTATCCAAACTTGCAGTCATTTTCTAAAGGAGTCTCTCTTCTTTTTAGTGGGAAATGATATTTAAGGACCACAATTTGGCAGATAAGGTTTCCTGTTGCTCTTAGCTGTGTCTTTATTTTTAGTCCTTTCCTATTATACCACTGAGATGGATTTTTTTCTTTATTTGATAAGTTACATTATGAAGACATACTAGAAAACTTATTCTTAAACATCAACACTGCAATTTGTTTTATCACACAAAACACCTACACTCCCATCATTACCACCTATTATAGGATTATGGGGGGAGCCAAAAAAAAACCCCAAACCTTCAACATTGTTTTGCAATTTTCTTGACCTTAGACTATATGCAGCTACTGAGGTACAGTTGAATGCTTTCAATGAACTAAGAAAAGTTCCTTTCATTGCATTTATTCCACTAACTACATACACAGTTGTCTTTTATTTTTAGGAATTGTTTAATTTGTTTATTCAAATTATATAGAAATATTTACATGGTTCCAGAATAAAATCTATAAAATATGGCATGCTCAAAAAAGTTTGACCTCTGTTTCTAATGCTCTTTATTATGCTGTGCTCTGCCACAGGTCAACATGAAAATATCTTTACTTTCTATTATTTTCCTAAAAGGAAAACTCACATAAACATGGATCTGTTATCACTTTCCTGAATATTACTAGAATGTAACACATTTTTCCTGCACTTTGCTTTTTTCCTTTTTAACTGTGCATCCTAGAAAACATTCTATAATAAAAGACAGAAATGTTTCTGATTTTTTAGAGTTCACTTGGTGGCACTGTGTGATTTTTCATGATGGTTGTGTGTGTGGCTAACCTGTGAGTTGGTGAATGACCAAACGTGTGTCTACGGCTCCTATAAATGAAGCATTGGCTCTGGTTTCTGGTATCTTGTTTGCTGCAGTTTTGATCACAACTATCCCTCAAACACCCCAGGTTTGAAGACTTGTCTCCCAGCCTGTGGCACTCCCGGAGCAGTGGCAGAACCCTTAGAAGATGGAGCCTAGGAGGGGAAGTGAGGTCACTGTGGGTGTTGCCTTGAAGGGAACATTGGACTCCACCCCTTCCTGTCTCTCTCTGTCTCCTTCCCCACCCTCTCCTGTTACAATGAGCAACCTCCTACAGGCTCAAAGCAATGGGGCTATGACCATGGACTGAAACCTCCAAAGCCATGAGCCAAAATGAACCTTTCCTTGTTTTAAGCTGATCAGCTCAGGTATTTTGTCACAGTGGTGGAAAGAGGATTGATTCAAGGAGCTAGCCATGGTAGCCCCATGTGTCTCTGTCCATGTTGGATACTATGAAACATTTCAGTCAAAGAAGGGAATACAAATAAGTGTGAACCATTGCCACAGGGTGACACACTACAACTGTAAGTTTTTCTATCATAACTTTATAGAAGAAAACTTTATAACTGAATGCTTTCTTTGAAATTTTTCTTTTCTCTGTTACCTTTGTTGGGGATTGGGACTATTCCATTTTTGCTATAGTCATTAACAAGAAGCACTATGATAATTTTTATGTTTCCATGAGCTGCTTACTTGATATTTTAAAAAGTATTTCAGGATTGGACACCTATGCTGATATATGAGCTGAGTACAAAAAGAGCTGAGTTCCAAGTGTGTATGACCCCGTCTTATACCTGGAAAATGTCTCCAGTCCTCCCTCAGCCAAAGTATGGGATTTCTTGTTTTACCTTTTGTTCCTTCGTTCTCCTCCATTTCAGTTAAAATAGCATTGTGACCTCTAGGTGGCAGGTATTTCTTAAGCTAACAGAATCACATATACTTTAAATAATCTAACTCACTCCCCATTAATCTAAACGCATTTTTACAAACTGAGGAACACTTATCTGTATAAAAGTAAACATGAAATATCACAATTGTGCAGCTGAAAAGTTTCTCAAGCTATGCAATTTTGCTGCTTCGGAATTCAACTAAAAATACAACTGTGAAACCCAATATGTTGACTTTTAAAGAAAAAGAATCTTAGCTTAGATGTGTGTGCCTGTGACTGCACCTTTAAAATATCAAGAGTGGGACTTGCTGTCGGAGTTTGGCTGGGCTTGCAGGAGACGGGGTACGGTGACAAGGTGGGTCTAGCAAGATGCGCTCTGCTAAGAAGCCGCTCAGTGTCCGGCAGCCTCGGTGGAGCAGTGTACAACACAGGCATGTGTGTTCCTGTTTTTGAAAGTTCTCCCATGCTGTTTCCCTTGCTCTAGAAAAGAATCTTCCCCGTATAGTTCTCTGCTCCTTTCTTTATGTTGACATACCTCTGATCATTTGAAGGTTGTGAGTGCTCTGCAGATGAGGCTGGTGCTCGCCCCTGGAGCTGGTGGCTGGCAGAGTAGGTGGCACTGGGGAGGGCACCAGGGGCATCTTAAGCACTGAGGTCCCTGGTTCTCCTACTGATGCTGAAAATGAAGAAGGGAAGGAACTGAAACTCTGGTCTCTGTTCCTTAAGTGTCCTGGGGGTTTCGGGCCTCTTCCATGGTTGGGGGAAGAGAGTTCCCAAAGCAGGGAGAGAGATACAGAAGCCAAAGCTGGCCATGGCTGGGTCACTGCTCTGGGTCCTCTCCATGTCACGTGCTATCTCTCAATTTTGGAGTTTCCTGACCTCTCAAGGATTTTGATTTTCTTTATCAACCTGACTTCATGTTTCTTCCAGAACCACCTTACTTGCAACCTAGGTTTGTCTCACTATAACCCAGGGGAGAAGTCCCCTTGGCAGGTGACCGCACTGGGATGCATCATGAGACCCTCCCCTTGGCCTGCCAGCCGACTGCTGGCTGAGGGTGACAATGCTGAATGTCTTTGAGCCTGCATGAGAACGGGAAATGAGGGTTAGTGGGCCCCGGGAGGCCTGCTGCTTTCCTAGCCTCTAAATTTTCCCTAACTCTGGAGTTCATTTCAACAAACCTCAGCTGGTAGCCAAGAAAAATACTTTGTAAAACACCCCTTCAAGACTGAGAGGGATGCGACTCATAAATTTGAAATAATTATGACGAAGCAGGAAGTTTAGTCTTAGGCACCAATCTTACCCTCACCTGCCAGGGGCTCTGTGAGAGGGCGACTGCTTACTTCTCAGGATGCTAAATCTGCCCAACCTTCTGCCTCCACCAGCGGCCGGGTCCTGGATAATGTGGGATGGCAAGTCTCAGAGAAGGGGGAAAACCTGGCTTGGACTCGGGCCTCTTACTCCAAACTGAGAGGAAAATTGCGCATAAGTTTTGGTTCCCCAAAGGGAAGAAAATGAGAAGGCGCTTCCTATCCATCTCACAACCCAACACTGAGGAGGGGAGGCTAAACCAGGCCAGATGCTGAGCACGTCAGGTCCAAAGATGTTCAGAAACCCTGGTGGCTGCTAGGAAAAGGCTGGGGTCAGACCTCATCCAGGCTGTATCCCGGAGGGAGCTCACAGGTTTCTAGTTGGTTCCATGAATAGGGAACCAACTTCCCGGTAGACGTCAAGAGTTACTCGAAGACCCAGGAAGGGCAGCTGCCTCAGTCTTCTGGTCCACATGGCAGGTGCCCTAGAAAAGACCCAAGGGGGCTGCTGGGCTCCAGCGCACAGGACCAGATGGCACAGGGAACCTCGCAGGGAGCAAACAGCTGGCCGCCCTTGCCACAGTGCTGCCAGTGCAGTGGTGCTGTGCAGAGAGAAAGGCCAGGCAGAACTGGTCAATGCACATAGGGGTCTTTCAGTAAGTGAAAGATTTTCTGTATTGACCTGTGCGTAATGTGTGAATTAGGGATCAAAAGCCTGTCCAATATTGTTGCAAGGCACATCAAATATATTTTTAGTTTTATAATTGTGTTTCAAGTCCTATGATTGCCCAGCAAGAGGAGAAGGAAGTAAGACACAAGATGGGTGTGTGGGTGTGGAAAGGGTGTGGCCCAGGGAGAGAGGAGGTCAGGAGAAGCCACAGAAGAAGAGTCTGAACCAGGGGCCCCGGTGCAGGTCTATGTAATATTTCTCCCAGGGATATTTCATTGCACAACCCATATTTTATGAGGAGTACTAAGTTAATTTTTTGTGGTACTGGGGATTAAACTGAGGGCTTTCACACTGAGCCCCAGTCTCCAGCTCCCTCCCCTTTTTGAGGCAGTCTCTTCTAAGTTGCACAGGCTGGATTTGGACTTTCAGTCTTCCTGCCTCAGCCTCCTACAGTGTTAGGATTATAGGTGTGCACCATCACATCTAGTTCTACATTAAATTTTTAAGAAATCTTATAACATGCCTGGCTATATTAAGACATAACAGATAATGTAGTCATTTCCTGAGCAAGAGAGACAAAAACTCAGCTGCTGTTATTTTGCTGGACCTATCTGCAGAGAACGGGCAGGGGTAGGGTGTGGATAGGGACTTTCATTTTCAGTTTCCATTTCAAGGTGGATATTCAGATTATCTTCTCCTCTCCAAAACAGTTAGAACCCTGCAGTCTTAGAAAGGGAACATTTCTCTTGTTTTCTTTTTTCCAGGAAGAGGTGAGGGCTCCCGCAGCACCGAGGTGCCCGTTTTCCTCGAGTGCTGTGTCCTGGCCTCTGTCACTGCTCGCCAGAAGCAGCTGTGGCCCCGGCCTCTGTCTACGTGGAATTGGGGCCCACGCAGTGCTGCTGTGTCTTGTTCAAATGCCCCATGGTTCCACATATGCACGGCTTTTCAAGAAGAGCTGGCTGGGTTTCTCTGTTGAGTAGATTTTGGGGAAAAAATCCATATTATATTTGTGTGACATTACCAAATATCAGTAGTTTAGATCTGATGCTGTATACCTACACTTTCCCAAATTTTCTTTTTTTTTTTTTTGTTTGCCTTCTGCATAACTGTAAGGCCGCCCAGCCTCCCAACAAGGGGCGCTGAGGAGCAGGGACGGCAGCCTCAGCTCCGGGCGCTCACCCCGCATGCCATCTGGTTGCCCGCAGGTCATCGCATTACAGACTCAGGCACAGGGGGTGCAGACCTAGGGTGACCGGGGTGGCCAAGCTCACTGACCCATCTGTGGCCATGAGTGAAAATGCGAAAACAAACAATACTCAGGGCTAAATCTATTGGCCACAGCACCAGGGTCAAAAATCTAACCACCAGGGCCAGATTCAATAAAAATCTGTCTGGCTTTCATGCCAAGCCATGCAGGCCTGAAAAAACCAATCTTCCGGAACATGTGAAGCCTCCATTGCCCAGGCAAGGCCAGCCTGGTCTCCCGTCTCAGCCTCAGCTGCGTGTTGTGGAGCCGCGGCCCGTACCACCTCTGGTGGAGCCGGCAGGGCTGACCGGGTCACAGCACCCATCCCCACGCTCGCATGCTCAGGGGGCTCAAGTCACTGTCATTTTCCATCCAACATTTTGGGGGCCACAGGGCTGGGCTGTGAGCTGAGGGAATTGAGATGGAAGCACAGGTCCACCCCACGGAGAGCTTAGTCGGTGATGACCCTGGTGCAGGGCCACCAGGAGCAGGGGGCTGCGGGGACTGGAGAAGAGGGGATCAGTTAGTCTGGGAGAGGGAGGCTCTGTTCTCAGGAAGGAGCAGGAAGAGCAGCTGGAGCCCTGCACACAGGCTGGGGCCGGAGGAAGAAGGGCAGGCGCGTGGGGGCACAAGACACAGGTGAGCAAGTACACATCCATGAGTGTGCGTGCATGAGTGTGTGTGTGGGGGGGGCTGATGGAAAGAGAAGAGAGCAACTGAGACACAATCAGAGTGAGACATAGAGTGAGACAGACAGAAAGAGAGGTGATAGAGACCAAGACTGATGGAGATGGAGAGAAAGAGAGAGAGAAAAAAAACGCAAGCATGAGACAGACAGTCTGGTGGAGAAAGGAAATGGGCAGGTGGATGAGGGACTGCAGGTGGACAGTGCTGGGCTTGTGGCAGCCCAGCTAAGCCTGAGACCTGGGTAGTTTTGGCTAGGAGGCCTCCACAGTGACGAAGTGACATCGAGCTGGGTGATGGCCCGGGCCTGTGGGGCACTGAGCGGAGAGACGCAGGATGCGGGTGCCGCCCCCTCTAGACTTTCCGGACTGGACAAGGCAAGGGCCTGGGATGGACACACACACACACACACACACACACACACACACACACACACGAAGAGGCAGGGCGGGAGAGCAGAGGGTGCGGTTGTAGTGGGGGCCCTGAGTCTGGGCTCAGGAGAGTGATTTGGGATGCCAGTGCAGGACACTGACCACAGAAGGGAAAATCAAGTTAAAAGGGACAAAACCAGAGAATACAAAGATCTGATGAAGAGCTCAGAAAGTCGCCGACCGTCATGGGCAGAGGAAGCCGCAGGGGTGGACGGCAGTGGTGCAGGACAGAGTCCACTAGGGAATAGCCCAGCTTGACATCATGGAAAGGTCAGCAGTCAGGAGGGACTACCTCGCTGGGGCCATGTTTCAGTGCCCCACACGGATCCCGGGCAAGCTGTGTTCAGTGTCACAGGAGTGGTTTCCAGGATTTACCCAAGGGCGCCCTCAGGGGCAGAGGCTGGGAGTGTGGTTCCCAGCCATCCCATGGGCGAGAGCAGACTCATATGGGCTGCAGGACAGCTGTCTGCTGCAGACAGGACCCGCCCAGGCCAGGGGAGCTTGAGGGCAGTGGTGCGGACGCGTCTGTCTAAGCCAGTGCTTTTCCACAAATGCCAGAGTGGCCACTTCCTGCTTCCCGAATCAGCCTCCGAAGCACCACTGCATTACTACTCCGTTCTGTTTGATTAGCGTGCACTAAGCAGGCACATCAGTAGGTTCAGGGTGACATTTCAGCATGTGCCCACTCTGGCCCTTGTTCAGGGTCCAAGGGGGGACCACCCCGATCAGCAGGCAAGCTCCGTCCCACATAACTTGGATGGTAAAGGAGGACCCCAAAAGAGGGCCTGGGGCTCTCTTTTGATGAGCAGGCAGAGCGGGAGTTGAGTCTCAAGTTAATCCCCAGGTATGACGTCATTTCCAACTCATCTTGGTAACCTTGGTTGTCCCAGTGATCTCTAACTTCTGGTCATCTCTCGGGTGAGATGAAGTCCTAGAAACTCTCAGTGCCACAGCTCCTGGAGGATGGGTGAGGTGCTGGTCCTTGGTGCTCCTGTCCTCTCTACCAGATGCTGAGTGGTCCTGGTACAGCTGTGCCCTGTGGCCCAGCTCCCTTCAGCAGAGCTGCCACATGCTGATGGCCCTGTCTGCCCTGGACTCCTCCTCTGATCTTCCCATGTCAGGTGCCGCACAGTTCCTCCTCCCAGGTAGCATCCAGTTGCCCAAGTGAGGACCTTTGGTCTGCTAGGACTGCTATACTCAAGTGCTTGTGCAGACTGCTTCTGCCCCAGCCATCAAAACACCATTCCAGCCTTTGTCATTTCTGTTCCTGTATTTCACACGAGTCAGGAGAACGTTGCATCTTGCCTGACCTCACCCAGCCACTCTGTCCTCCCA